TTTTAGTAACCCTTCAACCTAGTCATCTTCTGTTCATTTTACAGATGGAAAGACTGATTTCCAGGAAAGGGAAATGAGCCTCATATTCATTCTGACCTGTGTGTGCTGAGCATTGGCGCACCAGGTGTAGGTGTTTAGAGATGAGCAGAACCATATTCTGATCCTGAAGACAGTCACATACTCATAGGGGCAAGAGAGAAGTGAAGGGGTGCTGACCTAGCTGTGTGACATGTGCACCATGTGGCATGGGCACCATGCAGGGAAAAAGGAGGGCTAAGCAGCTTTTCAGATGGGTCAAAGCAGGCTTTCCAGAGGAGGTAAGGTTTGAGTGATGCTTCAAGGACAAGGTGGAAAGGGGTCAAGTGAAGAAGGGGATGAGTGACTCAGCCAGAGGGTGCCGCTGGTAGAAAGGTTCAGAGATGGGATCTGTGTTCTGGAACCATTAGCAGCTGGAGATGTCTCTGCTGTGAAACAGAGTAGGGAGGAAGGTCAGCAAGCACACCTAGACCTCTGACTAGAGCCCAAATGAAGGGGTTCCAAGTTGAGGAGTTTGTCCTGAGAGTGATGGCCTTTGTCCTAAGAATGATGTCCTGAGGATGACAATGAAACACTGAAAAATACTTTGGAGCAGTCATCCCAAGGCATTTCCCCACACAGTGTGTTTGTTTGGATTTCAACCTCCCAATACACTGAGGCTGTATTACTGTAGGTATGCAAGATCTCATACCACGCAGTCTGTGGACAAGCTGGTACTCAAATTCAGGTTTCAGCCACCTTGGCCAGTGTTCCTTCCCCTGCAATAAGGCCAAGCAAAGGAATAGCAATGGTTTGGGCCTGGAGCTCCAGGTTCCTAAATAGACCATCCAATGTTATCCATGAGCCACCTCTTTCATAATGAAAGCATCCCATAAGTAGACTTGGACCTCAATCAGCCAGGGCATGGAAATGTAGGAGAGAGCACTGGAGGAGGAGTCAGGAATGCCAGAGTCTTTAGTATGAACTTATTGGCAAGTGGGTTTTGCACAAGTTGTTTTTCCTTCTGGGCTTTGGTTTCTTCACTTATAAAATCATGATTGGGAGTTGATGGTACAGGAGTTTTAGTTCAAATTATCAGTGAACCTCAGCTTGCTTCAGAGAGACGATGACAGAACTGAGCAGGGAGAAGCTAACACTCTTTCTGATCCTGAGAAACTCAGAGGTCTGATTACTCTCCCTATCCCTCTCCCTCTCCCTCTCCCTCTCCCTCTCCCTCTCCTCACTCTCTGTCTCTGTCTCTCTCTGTCCCTCTCTGTCCCTGGCTCTCCCTCTTTCACTCTCCTGCTGTATGGATTTGCTTGCGGTATTTATTTGTATCTGTTTCTTGGTCTCTGTCCCCCTACTTCCCACTCTCTCTGTCTGTTTCTCCCTCTCTCCTTCATTATCAGGGACTGCCACTTTCTCTCCTTCACAAATAACCCCTCCAGGCCCTGCCTGGTCCCCTAACAGCTTTCAGATGTGCCTCTGGAACAGTTCTACAATTACATCTGAGACAGGCAGAAAGCGCATGGCCTTGTGACTTTTGACCCAGGATTGTGAGGTTGACATCTTCCTCCTTCTCCACCCCCCAGCAGGGTTGCGTGAGGCCTCCTCCATCCCGAGGTCCCCACTGCCATGTTTGGTTACTATAATAACAAAAATAGAAGCTACCTTTTAGGGAGCAAAGATTGAACTGGGTCTATTATTGTCATTGTATCACTGAGTCTTGACCCCCAACTTGTGAGATATGGATAATTTCAACCTATTTTACAGGTGAGGAGACTGAGACTCAAAGAAGGTGAAGTGACTTCCCAAAGAATGTTCAGCCAGCAATTGGAGAAAGCAAGGATTCTACCCAGTTTTTATGGCATGAATACCTAAGACCACTTCTTACCCAGTATGGTGGGGGCTCTCTTATTCATGCTCCTTGGCTAAGCAGCAAGATGACCCTGGGCCCTCTTGGATGGAGGAAATGGATTGCAGAAGCACCACAGGAGCATAAGTGGCCTATGAGAAAGCAGTGTTAAAACATTTTCCTACTTTTCATATTTTGAACTTTCATTCATATATTCTATTCACTACAAGCCTTCCATGTTTCCCTTGGTTGAAATACATCTTCTCTTCTAACTCCAAGAAAGCATTTTTTAAAATGTATTGTCTTGCACAAATAAGTGCTCTATGTATGGTCTTTATAAAAATCCTCGTCTTACAAGCCACTTTCTCATGCATCACTCCATGTCATCCTTGAGACAACCATGTACTGTCTGTGAAACTAACCTCATTTTATTGATGGAGAAACTAAAATTGAGAAATGAGAGATGGTATGCTTTGATTCATTAATCCATACCAGTATTTATCAAGTGCCTACTATGTGCCTAGCACTGTGTTAAATGACAACAATATGCTGTACCCAAGCTGAAGTGTATGCACTCTGGGACATGCATGCACTCTGGGACATGCATGCTAGCGTTTACATCTTGCCTCTGCCACTTTCTAGATGGTCCATATGTGGATGATAAGTGCTTACATAATGTTGCCCAATGCTGTTCTCACTTCCCACCTTGCCACTTGCTTACTCTCACCTCCTCAAATTTATTTATGATCTTGTTCTCAACCCTTCTGCATGGCTTTCCAATGATAACTTACCTCACAGTGCACTTAAATTTCACATCTATCCATACTGCACTTGTGAGGTGGGTAGCAGTCTCTCTATCACAGTTGCCGGGTGCAGAGAGGTGCATGAGCTCAGAGAGGTGAAGCAACTTGCCCAGGTTCAAAACACTAGGCAGTAAAACTGGAATATGAACCCACATATGGCCATCTCCAAGACCGGGTACCTTCCTCTGTCACCCCCTGCTTCCTTTGTACCAAGAAGTTTTGACTCATGGTACCCTTTATTAAAACAACCTTTGAGGCCTCAGGTCATGGGAAGTCAAAGCTGGCAGGGCCCATGTAGGTAACCCAGATCTGATCCTCTGAGCTTGCAAGTGGGAGCAATAAAATGGCAGCTGAGAGCAAAGAGCGTGGGTTTTAGAGTAAGACAGATGATTGTCTTGGCTCCTTAATTTTCTGAACCTGTGACTTTGGACACATTGCTTAATTTTTTTAATCTTCAGTTTTATCTTCTGAAGGGTGTAGATAATGAGGGTGATTAATTTAGCATGTTTTCACAAGATCAGAAAACGTATGAGATGGCACTGCTTCAACATAGTTGGGGTTCAGCAAATGCAGCTAATGGAATCACATTTTTACAGAGTTGGTTTCTACAGAACTGTGATCAGAAGACAACAGCTTATGGTGGTTGCATGTATGAACTTTAGAGTCAGAGAAACAAAGGTTTAAATTGCCAGTCCTAGTAATTACCATGTGGTTCTGGGCAAGCTGTTTCCCCTCTCTGAGCCTCACATATAAAATAAAGAGAGTAATAGTACCTGTCATTTAGGATTGTGTTGGGGAACTAATTGTGTTAATGTAGGTAACTCTTAGCTCAGTGCTTGACACATATTAGGGTCTTAGCACTTAATAATTAATTTGTATAACCAACTTATAATTATTAAGTGCAAGTAAGTATGGCCAATCAGGGCTCACCATTCTGAAACTTGGTAATCATATTGTTTTGCCTATTTCATAACATGGGATACTTTGGGATGCAGGGAAGGAGGTAAGAAAATAGGGCCATTAGGACCCCAGTCTCTTCTACTTAATGTAGGGAACCCTCTACCCACTTCACACTACTGCCTCTACCCTTAAAAGCTAGTGAAAAAGAATGGCATGATGCAGACAGAGCACTCAGATGCTCAACCCTTCTATTCAGACTGTTCTTGGCCTCTAAGGCTCACATCACCTAGAAAGTCGTTTCTGCTCCCTTCTTAGACTTTGCTTAACTGTAGAACTTGGAGATCTGGGAATATAAGGGTCACAGAGCTTCCCCAAGATAGGACAGAGGACAGAGGCTGCTCTAGAAAGAATTAAGTGCTCTGGATTAGACTTGAATCTACCAGGTCTACGTTTTACCAGTTCTTCCCTTCTAAGGCCATACAGGCTGTGTCTGCTCCCACCAATATAGCATGGAGCTTCGGATGACATCACAGAAAGGTAGGGATATGCCTTATAGCCAGATTAACCCCCAGTCTCCCTGGCATGGCCTACAAGGTTCCCACCAACCTTTTACCTCATCTCCCTTTGTTTCAGCCATACTGGCTACCCATTTCTTCAACTGTCTGGGCTCCTTCTCTCCTCAGGACCTTTGTACTTACTGAGCATCCTACAGAGAATGCTCTTTCCCCAGGTCTTCCTTCCATAAACCGGTTCTTCTTCACTATTCAGGTCTTAGGTCCTAAAGATGCTTCTTCAGGAAGGCTTTCATGGGCTACATTCTGGAGCCTATACTCCCCACGCTCCCGCATTAGTCTTTTTCTCATTATTCTGGTATATTTTCTTCCACACTAAACGATTATCTGATTTTTTTGTTTTTACTTTTTGATTTTTACTTACTTTTTTGATCTGTGACCTTGACTCTCTTGTTCATCTTTATAACCTTAGCACTTAAAGTACTTCCTGGTGGGGAGTAAATGCTCAATAAATATTTCTTAAATGAGTAAACTAGTGAATATATAAATTGATATATCCAGCCATAAAGGATAGCATTAGGGCTCACTTCTCAGACCCCGGACTCAGATGGCTTGAATTCAATACCCCCGTTCTGTTCCTCAGTAACTGAGACAGTGGAAAGATACACAATCTAAGTCTCAGTGTCCTCATTGACAAGATGTGGATGACAAAAAAAATCCCTCCCTTTTAGGCTGAGATGAAGTGCAAAGTGCCGAGTAGGCAGTTAGTGCTCAACAAGTGCTTTATAATTATCATTCTTTTTTAAAAATCATTTTTCCTATAGCCTAATGTGCCATGACTGTGTTCTTCCCTGCAACTCCCAGGGCCTTCTGTGAAGTCACAGCCTGGTGCTCTGTTTTCTTGCTGTGCTGCAGGTTCACTCTGTATGCTGTGGATACACGAGGGAGGCACTCAGAGCTAAGCACGGTAACCCTGAGGACGGCCTGTCCACTGGTAGATGACAACAAGGCAGAAGGTAGGTGACCTAGTTTTTCAACTCTAAGGTAACTCCCATATTTCCCCTAAGTTCTGTACCCAACAGTCACTAATCATTAAACATACACACATATACACACACATACACCAACACACTGGCACAGGGAGAAGAAAGTGAAGGCACTAAGGGAACAGGAGGAACATGGAGCTAAATTAATCAAAGTCATGAAGGGAAAAATTAAGATTGACTAGCAATATCTTTGGCAGTGGAAAGACTTCCCCCTCTTTTAGAGAGTTGATCTGTGTTCTGACTTACAGGCCAGGAATGGTAGGGAGTCAGAGCCCCATGACTGTATCTTGTCTCTTGGCCTAGATTTCTCAGGGACCATTTTCTCCCACTTGTCTTTGCTAGAGTAGTAAAGAGATGGCACCTAGAAGACCATTTCACCTTGTGGTGCCCATAGCAGATATCATTAGCAGATCACAGCATGCTGTTCCATCCAGTCCCATGGTGGCCTCAGAATCCTCGGCAGAGAGCTACCATCAGTGATTATCAGTCAGTTAGCATGCAAGATTAAATGTTTTTGCTGCTTCCGGTTCATGACGTAAACAGCAGGCAAAAAAACACCTGAAAAAAGTACAAGTAGTCAATCAGATACACCATATACTTAGTTCTTGAGCATTGTGTAGATGCAGTTTCTACATCAAGTCTAGAAAAATGTGACAGTGGCTCATAAGTCCTGGTGGTCTACTTAAAGTTGAACAATTATTTCTCAAAAGTTCAAGCAATGCAGTAGAGACATGGTCTCCACCTTTTAGGAATTCACATTGTGGGTGGTGAGACAGACATTTCTGCAGATGGCTCAATAATAAACTCAATTATAAATGTTTTATATGCTACCAAAGGAGAGGGGATTTAAAGTATTTTCCTGATAAATTTAAAAAATTTTTATTTTAAAATAACACATGTCCATTTTTTTTTTTTTTTTTTTTTTTTTTTAAAAAGTACAAATAAAAATCGAGTAGAAAATAGGGTAACATAAATGTTCCTCCCATTTTTACTCTAAGTTTCCAGATTCTCCTAGCAGCAACTGTTGTCAATAATGATTTTGGGCCACATAGAGATTTCGATCGGGGTTTTTGAAGCTGAAAGAATATACCTTCTAGTCATGTTGAATTGAAGTTACTTTCATTAGCAGGAGTAACTGAAGCAGTAGAAATAGCCATGAACAGCAAGCAGAAGCCTTTGGATTTTCTTTGAAAGGTGTTTCAAACGGGGACCTATCAGACCTGATCACAGAAATGTGTTGGAAATACAACAAAGGGGAAATAGAAGGAGGGCGTTGAGATTATCCAAGACAGTTTATTTAAGCCAATTGTATGTAAAATCACAGTTACAATAATTATATTGATAATTAAGCTTGCAATTATGAGCACTAACTTTGTGCTAGGCCCTGTGTTGAGTGCTTTGTATCCACTCTTTAATTTAGTTCTCCCAATGCACCTCCAGAATAGACATCATTACCTCCAGATGACAGGAAACCAAACACAACCAGTCAATAACGTATTCCTGATGAAATTAAGGTTTGTCTGCTCCCAGAGCTTATGCAAGCAAACTCTCTCACCACTGTGCCTTTCTTATTGAAGCCCATGCTTATATCCTTACTTGTTTTCACCACCCAGTGATCAATTTCTGCCCTTCTGACCTCTCAGAAATAGCTGACAAGATCTACAATCTGTACAATGGGTACACAAGTGGAAAGGAGCAGCAGATGGCCTACAACACCCTGATGGAGGTCTCAGCCTCGATGCTGTTCCGAGTGCAGCACCACTACAACTCTCACTATGAAAAATTTGGCGACTTCGTCTGGAGAAGTGAGGATGAGCTGGGGCCCAGGTATGAGCCTATTTGTGTGATTGAAAGGGCATATTCTTTTTGCTTCCAGTTGACTTTTCTGGACCCTTTCCCCATAGGCTGAGAATAGGCTTTATCAAGTAAATAAGGGTGATTATCACCTTAGTCGTGTCAAGGCTAAAAATAGAAAATGAGCAGGGAGAATGAAAGAATCTTGGAACTTTAGATTCCTGCACTCCTGGAATGTTTAATAGGGAAAGGGCATTGATGCTGTTTGCATTAATCATTCTCCTTGCTCATCTCCCACCTCGTTTTACAGATAGGAAACTTAGGCTCTTTGAAGGCCTGTGTCCTAACCAAGATCACGGAGGAGAACAGCAGCGGCGCCATGGTGCATAATCCAGGGCCTTTCTCAGTCTTCCGCAAGAAGTCTGAGTTTTTCTACAGTAAATAGCTGTGATTTTGACTAAAGTCCATTAGTGAACACGACTACATAAATTGATGAATTCAACATGTATGAAGGCTTTATTTTTGTCCTGCATGCCAGTCACTATGCCAGGAACCAGCAATGATTCAAATAGAACTAAGGCACAGTCACTATCATCTAAAGCTTCATAAAGCAGTATATGCAATGGTGGCTGCATTGTATGTCTTGCATCTAGCAGCATTCATCCATTCAGCATATATTTAACAGCACCTGTTATGTGGTGGCTGCTGACAATGCAATGGTAAAAAGGTAGAAATGGTTGCTACCTATATATAAGTTCCTGTTGCAGGTAGTTAAACAGGCAGTTATGTAGAGCAGGAATAATAAGTGTCATGATAGCAGAAGAACAGAACTCTTTGGGAACATACATGAGACATAGGCATCTGGTCTAGGTCACCCAATGAAGCTGCACTGGGGCTGAGAGCCTGAGGCCTAAGGTTTGAGTTGGGGTAAGGTAAGTGAGGGTTGCTGGGGAGAAGGATAGGTGTTTGGAGTAGAGAGACTACCCGACGGAATGCTCAGAAGAGAAAATATTACATGACAGTGGAAGTTTTCTTCTCAATTTTGGATCATTTGCCTACCACTTTTATGACTTTTGCCATCTCACCACCATATATATTTTATTTTGTGTTTCTTTCTTAGATTCACTTCTTATTAAAAATGTATTTGAACAGAAAACACATTATCTTGTAAAGGAAAAACCAACACCATCTTCCCTTAATAGAAAATTAAACTTAACCGTTCAATACAATGGACAAAATCAACAAAAGTGGAACAAGACAAAAAACGGAAAACAATGTTGTTCAATTCTAGCAGAGCCTAAGGCTGTCCCTTCAAAAGGGAGATTAGTTAGAGAAGTGTTAAAGACACAGCCCCAAACCAAGATTGTCTTTTCTTTTTTTGAGATGGAGTTTCGCTCTTGTTGCCCAGGCTGGAGAGCAATGGTGCTATCTTGGCTCACTACAACCTCCGCCTCTTGAGTTCAAGCGATTCTCCTGCCTTAGCCTTCCAAGTGGCTGGGATTATAGACACCCACCACCATGCCAGGCTAGTTTTAAAAAATTTTTTTTAGTGGAGAGAGTGTTTCACCAAGTTGGCCAGGCTGGTTTCGAACTCCTGACCTCAAGTGATCCACCCATCTCAGCCTCCCAAAGTGCTTGGATTACAAGCATGAGCCACTGGCCAGCCCAATATTTTCTTTTTGAAGTAACCTGAAAGAGGGGAAGAGAATGCAAGAGCTAATCTAACCACTTTTGCAAACGTGATTCATTTTTGTTTAATATTGGGTCTGTGATCATCTTGAGTACCACCTAAAATCCTTTCCCTACCCTAGAAGAACTCAGCCTGCACTTTGGTAAACACTGTGTTTGGAGCAACTAAAGAATTTCCGTGTAGTTGCAACAAAGTGTGTGACAGCAGGAGTGGTAAGAGATAATAAGGGGGAGGTCAGTGGGAGCCAGATCCTGAATG